AGCTAGGATGGTACTTCTTAACCTATGTGTATGGGACCACTGGGGACCTTTGGTAAATTACAATGACTAGGTCTCATCCTAAAATACTTGACTTCACAGATCTGAGGGGTGGGGAGGTTTTATAAATCTTTCCAGATGATTGATTGCAGAGGTTATCCCACTTTAAGAATCACAAACCTGGAGGGTCTTATGATCATATCCTGTGTTGTTCAGCAATATACAAGATGTATGCCTTGGACAATAGCTTTTTCAGAAGATATATGAGCCAGTAGCTGGGCTGGGTAGTGTCCTAGTTAAGCATGGACCTCCTTGTCACCCACCTGTCCCCATTGCCTCCACCTGGTGGCACTGATGGATTCATAAGTACAGGTGGGCTTATAATTTATTTCTGAATCCTCATTGGTTTATCAAGCTGTGCTTGTGATTATTCCTTTATTGTATTTCATTCTCATAATAGTCTTACAAGAGAGGCCTAGAACTGTCCTGTTTCGAAGACATGAAGACCAAATCTGAAGGCATCCTGCAGCTGCCACAACTGCTGCTCAGCTGAGTGTCCTTACTCTCTCAGAACTTCCCTTCCCCTCTCAGACTGATCATGCCATTTTGAAGCAAAGTACTCACATCTGTCCCTCTTCTCGGAGTCTTAGGAGGCACATGTGTAGTCTGCTTAATGTGTGTCTTTCTCCTCCATCTGGACACTGGCATACAGTCTCATCTCAGCCTTCATGTGTATCTCCCATCCTCCCTGAGCCTGACATGCTTTTCTTTGTCACTCAAGCCTCTGAGTTTGTAAGAAAAACACCCAAAGAAATGGAAAGTTTTCAACACTTTCCTAACACCTGTAACACCAAAATAATCCCTTTGTAGACAATGACAGCCACCAAAAGCTTTGCCACTGACTTTTCCAAGAATGGGAAGGCAAAATTCTAACAAGACTTTGATTGATGTGAGGTGATTTTTCCACTCAGAGATTCTGGGAGCCTGAACAAGAATCTTGGCCCTGGGTGCTGAGAGACAGGGGTAACTTAGAAGACCAAGCAGCCAAATAAGTAGGGTGGCATATATTTGGCCTGGTGACCAAGTCTTGTTCAATGCATGTGAACCAACTCAGGAAAATGTTCACCCAGCCCATCAGCTCCATTAATTGTTTAAGAGCTTAAATAAAGATCAAGGTGAAGATGCATTTTTCCCCTATTTAAGCCAGCAACCTCTTTGAAAAAAATGTTGTTGTTTTTTTAAACATTTCCCATCAGCACATCTATCTTCAATTAAATATTCTACATGTGAAACTGTGTGTGGCAGGAATTCCAGCTCAGAGACATTGTGGGCGGCCTCGAACAAAAGGGAGAAGGCTCAGCATCATTTGGAAGCTGGATTAGTCTGTCACAGAAAGGTCTAGAAAAGCCAAGTTACACACAATTAATGGAACAATACAACAATCTGTCTTCAGCTGGCCCAGGCATTCCTGTCATTTGTCCCTCAGCTGCAGAATCACGTGGCCTGTGATTTTGTGTATCTGTTCCATCATGATGGCGTTTTCAGTGAAATCTCTATTTCCAGTAACCAAGACTGAATTTTTGCTCTTTCTTTTTTCTTTTTCTTTTTAAATATTTTACTCTAACAAGAATGTTCAAGGAGAGTTTCTTCTTGAAACTCAGTCTTATTCTGCTAACCGCCCATGACAATTTTATCTGAGGCTCTCCCCTCTTTCAAAAACCATACATGTACAAAAGAGACCAAACCACGCACACAGTTAGAGGGTAGATAGATAATATTATAGCTAGGTTGCTCTATATAACATCAGTCAGACCTTTTACCTTCTAATTATATTGCTCAGCTCATTTAATCAGGAAGCAGTAGTTTGTTTCGCAGGGATTAAGCACATACGTGTTGAAGGAAAAATAGAACCATTTAACATGTAAATGATGGCACCTGTGAAGGTGCGGCACAAAGCCAGAGGAACTGGAGGCATAGCTCTGCCGAAACCACTGTGGGTGTGAGCAGAAGATACCTCCCTATTGCCCTGATTCATTTATAAAAATGATCCCTCCCATGGGAGTGTTTAATATATATATATATATATATATATATATATATATATATATATATATATATAAGTTAGTGGGTGATAGGCAAACTATTTAGGCCTTCATATTTTCTCATCTATGCCATCAATCTGGATTTATTTTTGTTCAGAGGGCTTTTCAGCATGTTTAGTCTGAAAACTAGGTAAAGGCTGGTGAGACTACTGAGAGGGCAAAGGAATCTGCCTTCCAAGCTTGAATGCCCTGAGAGATCGAGTTAGTCTCACAAAGATGAACACATCTGGCCAGAGAAAACCTTCTATGTTCCACTTACATGTTGAAGTCTTGTCTTAGGACAAGCAGACCCTCAGGGTAGAGGGAAAGGATTGACTCCTTCAAGTCCTTTGAGAAGAATTGCCTTGCCTTTCCCTCTGTGTTCAGGCAGGACTGGTGGGCATAATTCAGGACAGAACATGCCAACATGTCAACAGCATTCACGTCTGCACCAGAGTATGCACACACATAAGGGGTTAGCATGGTTCTCCCTACTTCAACGTGGACTGAAGCCTAGTGACCCTCTTCCAGAAGCACTGTTTATGAAGGTTTTTGGTGAGACAACAAAGCTTACTGCCATGTGGAGCTATCTTTAATCCACTGTCAGCTCCCAAAAGGAAAACTAGTCAAGAGCTTGAGGTCACCATCCAATGCCTATGCTTTTACTTATTGGTGATATTAAATCATACTGAGCAGAAATACACACCTTTAGATAAAGACTGTGTATTTAAGAAGCTTTTTTTTTTGTGTGTGTATGTGTGCAAGCAATCACACTTTGATCATAACAAACAAATAGAACAAAGGATTCAGAGTACAACTCAGAAGAACCCTTTCTTCTGAGAAAGAAGGTTGAACATCAAGAGGCAGGATGTTTGGTACAACTTCACCAATTTTCCCCTATATTTTAAACTAGATGGCTCCACTGGTGATGTTCTTTCTTCCTGTGTCAGTGGTGAATTCTAGTTTTGCTTCTAGCTCTTGATTTATTAGTCAGGTGTAGAGTGTAAAAGTGTAATGGTAGAAAGGGTATTTTCCAGTACATTCTTCTATACTGCCAATTGCTGACTGGAAAAAAAGGTGAATTCATCAGAGTTCACCCAAGGGCAAGCTTGAATGCCCTGAGAGATCTAGTTAGTCTCACAAAGATGAACACATCTGGCCAGAGAAAACCTTCTATGTTCCACTTACATGTTGAAGTCTGCATCTGTCCCAAGCCACACCCTATTTTTGTGCTTTGCTCAGAGGGGAAAAATATTAAAATAATTGCTCTACTTCAGGTTAACACAAGAATATTAGCAGCATAGAAATCAGTACTAGCAGAGAAAGCTCTAACTGTTAGGGAATTGAGGACATCTTTGAGTGCCAGTGTTTGAGTCTTTGTTGACTTATTTTGTTGCTTGTTTTCTGCCTCCTACCTTCCCTTCTTGCTTCCTTCTATCATCAATCTCTCCTTTTACTTTCTCTTTTTATTCCTCTTAAATCAGTTCAGAGTTATGAAGCACACTATACTTTCCCAATTGTGGAAAATGGCATTGAAGGAGCAAATACTGTTTTTTGAGTGGGTTAACAAAAACCTTCCTCAATTTTATGTATAAAGTACAGGCATGCACATAGCCCATCAACAGTATACAATATATATGTGATATTGAAATCTCAGGGCAATAGAAGACTAAGTAAAAATGTTAACAGTCTTTCTCAGTGGGAGGAGGTGATAAGGGGGCTGGGGAAGCAAGTAAAGTCCAAGAACACTGACCTAGGCAGTCCCTGACGATGTGAAAAGATGAGAGCAAAATTATAAGCATCATGGTAGGTCATCAATCATGGTTTTGAAAATAAAGGGGGTCCAAGCACTCTGAAGACAAAAAGTAAGATTCAGAAATTATGTGGACAGCTGCTATATCCACTAGAACACATGGTGTTCCCAGGCTCTCTTGGACTCAACATATCTCACAGTTGTCTGTTTGGAGGCTTCATGATCCTTTAAAAAAGATACTGAATATGAAACTAATAGACAGAGCCCTGGTACTGCCTCTGCTTACTGGGTTAGCCAAATCATCTCCCTTTTAGACCTCATTCTTTTTTTGTCTATGAAACTCAGAAATTAATCCTCTGTGAGTCTGGTTCACAGCAATCTGGTTAGGCTCAAGAGAGATAACATTGGTTGGTGAAAACAACCTTGAAAGTTGCAAGACTCAACACAAAAGTTTAAGGTAGTGGAAAGTCTTAGGATAGTAGTCACAAGAGCTATGTGGTTCCATCTACCCATGTGACTTCTGAGGGCTGTATACATTCTTTACATTCCTTTGGTTGGTTATTGCTCTGCACTAGGAACCTTGTGATTACACACCAGGCAGGCCACTGGACAGAAAGGAGAAGGCACAGATCACCCAATCTATTTCCTCATTGTGTCACAGTGAGTTTGACCCAAGTGGCTTGCTTCAGTTCCTTGAATCTCAATGATCATGCCTCTAAAATGGTCCTACTCACAGTGGCCTTCCATGATTTTAGGATAATTATCAGAAATCATATGCATTGGCTTTGCTAAATGTTCAATCAAAGTGAATCTTACCCACGTCCCTTTAGCAATGCAGCTGCATACCGTGTGTATAAAAATAGAATGAGGGTAAATGGGATTGGCATAAGAGGCAGTTGGTGCCTTGATGTGGAAACTAAGAAGAGACTTGAAGAATTATAGAGAGCACCACAACACCACATGAAAGAGTGAAGAGCTGGACAGGAAATAGTTCTGTAGAGTAATTAGCAGAAAAATGGATGGAGAGAGATCCCTTCATCTGTTGCTAGGGTCCAGCATAATTTTTAGGAAGTAGCAGAGATCTCACATAAGGACTTTCCATAATAGATACTTTGTGCCTAGCTTACAGTGTATGCTTTAATGTTTTCTAATGTAATGGTTCTCTTCAGTTCTGTCAACAGATTCCACATCTACCCATCCTCTTGCCAATCTCTCCTCAGCCTCATAACCTGCTTCATCTCCTGAGAGCTTGGAAACTTCTGGAGGAAGGGGGGAGCTGAAATCTCATTTGGTTCAATGGCAACCATGCTTTGCCATCAAAAGTGCATGTGTTGCTTTTGTGAGCCTTCAGGTGCTGACAGCTACAGTGGTATTGTATCTGCCAGCCTTCGAGACATTGTTTCTGGACTGCACAGCCAAGCAGTTCTGACCTCCAGCAAAAGCCAGCCACACATACTGCAGCAGGCTGCCTGCTGGGCTCCACATGTTTATACAGAACTGCTAACCCTCAAGAACTGCAACTGAAAGAGAAATGAGAAAGGAATGAATATGCTGTTGTTTTTATTTTCTGCTCAAACCAGCTCTTTGAGGAAAAAAATAAAACAAGAAAAGGAAAGGAAAAAGGAAAAAAAAAATAAAAGCATCACTCTCCAAGCTGGAGCCCTGCCAAGCTTCCTCCCCTCCCTTGCTTGTCCAAGCACTCCACCGTCTGTGCAGACTGTATAACAGCAAGTTCTGGAAATAGGCTAAGGACTCTGGGCCAGTCTAGGGGCTGTGCTGTCTGGGTATCTGTGTCTGCTGGGGCTTTTGAGACTTGGTTTTTCACCTTTATCTTTTATCAACTGCCAACCCTTGGAAGCATATCTGTTACCATCAGCTTCTGTTTGTAAAATGGGACTAAAGGTTAACCTCTCCAGAGAAATCCACATATCTTCACTGTAGTTCAGGGCTTCCACTAACAGCTTGGCTCACAAAACATGACTATGGTAAATTAAAGAATGTTAATAAAAATGAGATAAAACACTCAGGGGTCATTTTTTCTTTGCCCCCAAATTCTTCTATGGTCCTTTCTAAACATTACCTTGTCAGAAAATTTGCTCCTGTGATCAACACGATTTCCCAAAGCAATTTTCTAAGAGCAGACGTAGATTTGCCATGATCACTAAGAGTTTTCAAAACTGTGGTGAGGAGGGGGTGGGTTCCTGTTATTTGTCTCACCTTTGGGTAAGTGTCCCTTTCTTGGGACACTCACCAAAGGGTGAACACTAGGATGTGAGTTTTATAACATACACAGAGACAACAGAGAGGAGATACTTTGAGCATCTGGATTGAACCGTGAGAAGGTAATTAAGTGCTTAACTAAGAAAAGATTTACCAAGACCCATGAATCTGTGCCCACAAATGCAATGGGCACTAAGTAAGTAGAGTAGCTTTACAGTGCACTGAACTTTAAGCTGGCTCCTACAGATTCTATTTATGCTTCACAAGAAGGGAAAATTAAACACACCGTGGGATAACATTTGTGCTGCTTTCTTTACCATGTTTGCTTGGCCACTGACCTTCAGGGTCATAAGGAATGAAAGAAACACAAGAAGTCTAGAGATCGGTGTACAAGTTGTGTGCAATAGGACAAACAGCCCCCAATCTGTTAGTCTAGAATGGTTCATTATTCCTATTTTGAAAATAGGGTTAAAATGACTGTGCTTTGCATGTTTTGAACATACACAAGCATCAATAAGTATTATAAGTATTGTCACCAAAAATTTTGACACTATCCTCACATTTGGTACCAAATCTCACTGACAACAAAATTGCTTTATTTAGTTATTTTTGTAAATGTCATTTACAATGTTATTTGTAATAGAATGCTGTTTTGTGTATGGACCTCCCCAGATGAAGCTATATGTTTTATGTGATACCATTAAGCTGGCTTAAAGTTTGATGGATGCCTGAGGAACTGTTATGGGATAGTTTGGTAGTTTCAAACAACCAACAGGTGCCTGCTGTTTTTACCACTTTCCTTATAAACTTCATAACTTTTATGTCATCTCCTTTCTTTCATATTCAATCAAATTTTCATGGTGATATTTACTCAAGTTCTCAAACCATCTTTGAAGTCTTTTCCAAGGCTTTTGTCTCCTTGTGGTCCTCCCCCTCAGCATCAGAAGGGGTTCAAACAGTTATGGCCCTTAGCACTCATGTTTACCAGTCTAGAATTCTCTAGGACATCTTCTCATGTTGTCTATACTATAGTAAACTATTAATTTACTTATGTATCTTGCACAAATAGATGTATATATATGCATGTATATAAACACATTTACTGTGTGCATGTGGTCATGTGTATGTGTGTGTATGTACATGTGATGACGAGAGGTCAATACCAGTCAGCTGTTGTCTTCCTCTATTGCTCTTCATCTTAGCTTTTGAGACAGGGTATTTATTCAATCTTATTCAGATAGACTGACTTGCTGATAAACCCTAGTGATGCTTCTGTTCGAGAAATGCAACATCATACTGGCTGTTCAGGAGGATCTAACTCATGTGTTCATGTTTGCCTGCCAAGCACTTTACTGACTGGGCCACTCCCACCCTGTGTGTGTATTTTATTTAAAAAATGATATATATGGGTGTTTTTTCCTGCATGTATGTCTGTATACTACAAGTGCATTTTATGCCCAGAGGCCAGAAGAAAGCATTGGATACCCTGGGACTGGAGTTACAGAGGGTTGTGAGCCACCATGTATATGTTGAGAATTAAACCAGGGTCCTCTGGAAGAGCAGCCAGTCCTCTTAATTGCTTAGCCACCTCTCCAGTCATTCATACTGATGTACTTTGTATCATATTATATATTACTTATGATCAAGGGACAAATCCTTTTCATCAGTTCAATTCAGTTGGTGTCTACGTACTATAGATGCTGCAAACAGAGAAAGCATGGCCCTACTCTCAAAAGGTTTACGAAACAATACAATAGGTATAAGGTCCACACATGCAATGGAAACCAGAAGTGGGGAAGCATTCCTTATCTCCTTCAGTCACTGTTATGTATTCACAGTTATCCTAGGAGACAGCAAAGGGAGAGGGTTTTCTCAGCTCAAGAACTAGACGGGAAGTTGAAGAGGGTTTGAGAAAGAAGGTGTGCAGAGGTGGTTAAGATTTGACATGTAAAGTGCAAAGATAGTGTTTCTCAAAAGAACAATTCACAAAGTACAATGGCATAAAGGCAGAAAAAGGAATGGGAATCCTCAGCCAAGTGTACCAGCAAGGTGCACAACAGTGTGTGATGACTTGATTTTTCATAAGTAGATACTTAATCAGCAAGACAACTGAGAAGCTAATTTTGCTCCATTTCATAAGGAATATATCCCATCTCTCTAACTCATGCTGGTAGAGAGAGAAAACAACTTATCACTCTCATCCTTTTTCCCTGCATTCATTCTCAGAATGAAAACAGGAGCCCTAAGGTATCCCACACGGAAAGAACGAGAAAGAACTACTGCAAAGTGCTGCTGCAGCACCCAAAACAACAAGTGATTTGAAGAACACCTTTGGAAATCACAAAGATAAGGCAGTGGCAACAAAGAGATTTTGGAAGTGGCAGGTAGGGCCCCGCCATGAGATGCTGATGAGATCTCTTAAAGATGCTATCAGGCACCCATGTTCCATTTGCAGAAAAATTCTTGAGTGTTCAAACTTGGCTTACAACATCAATTTGGCCTCACTTTAGGAGACTAGGCAGACACAATAATGGGTATGGAAGTCAAGTGGCCTGAAGAGCATACCCCTATTTTGTGAGTTCTGAACTAGAGTTGGAACACCAGAACCACTGTATCATTGAGAGGAGTGAGAACGGTAAAATGTCACTTTTAATTTGTATTGTTCTCAGTCCCTGACAATTTATAATATTTTAGTTTCTCAGTTCTCCCATTCAGAACATTTCATGTAGATAGAATCATACAATATGCAGTCTTTTTTTTTTTTTGGCTTCTTTCACTTAACATGTTTTCAAATTATTTCACTTGTTTTTATATCTAGATGTAGAATGGCTAGGTTATAGGGTAATTTCACGTTAGACATTTTGAAAATTTGTTAATCTATTTTCCAAATAATTGAGCTGATTTATATTCCCATCAACAAGCTATGAGGGCTTTATTGTATATTTTCTCCATCTTGCCATTACTTTTTAAAATTACAGATAACTTTTTTTATATTACTTACATTATAAATTGTGTGTGTGTGTATGTGTGTGTGTGTGTGTGTGTGTGTGTGTGTGTGTGCGCGCGCGCGCGCGTGCATTCAGGTGCCCATCCAGCTCAGAAGAGGGCATCAGATTCCCTGGAGCTGGAATTGCATGTGGTCATGAGCCACCTAATATGGGTGCTGGGAACCAAATGAGTCCTCTCTAAGAGGACCTCTTAACCGCAGAGCCATCTCTCCATCCCTCATTCCCCAAATTTTATGTTATGATTTTAAGAGGGTAGAAAATGATCTAAATTTCATGAGTTCCCATTAGTTTGGTTTGGTTGTCTCTGTTGGTTTCCCCATCATGATCTTGATGCTCCTTGCTCATAGAATCCCTCTTCTCTCTCATCAACTGACTAGGCCCCCTGCAGAAGCAAGGCAGTTGTGGAGCTTGAGCTGCTTAAGGGGCCCCCTGGCAGTAGGATCAGGATCCATCCCTTGTATATAAGCTGGCTTTTTGGAGCCCATTACCTATGGTGGGACAGCTCGCACAGCCTGAAGGCAGGGGGAGGGGTTTAAACCTGCCTCTATTGAATATACCAGGCTCTGCTGACTCCTCATGGGAGGCCTTACCTTATTGTAGGAGGGAATGGGGAATGGGTTGGGGGTCGGGAAGGCTGGAGGGGCGAGAAGAGGGAAGAATGGGATCTGTGACTGGTATGTAAAATGAATAAAAAATTTCTTAGTAAAAAAAGAGGGTAGAAAATGAACCTAATTACATTTGTTCAGGACTTTTGGGCAGCAATTAAATTAGATTCTATGTCATTAAGGTGGAGACCACATACTTGAATTCTGGTGGATTTATAAGGAGACCTCACAAAGAAATAGACACATCCTCTTTCCATGCTGCTATGGGGAACAGGGAAAGGGCAGTATTGGACCCCTAGCCAGTCTATTTGGATGTCTAGCTTCCTTACTCTCTGTTCTCCTCTTGAATTCTTCATCTCACTTTATGATCAGCACAGACAGAAGGCAGAAAGCTATCCTGCCTTTATGGCATGGCGCAAGAATACTCTTCACAGCTTCCCTCAGATGCACCCAAGGCACCTGTCACCATGGATGTTTGTCCCACTGCAGGAATACCATGAAAGGAGGTCTTTCTCTCATCTATTATGCTGGTCACTCTCTATTGCTGTAACTATAAAGAAACTATAGAGGGGGTGACATACTTATCTTGGTCCACAGTAATGATACTGGTCCACTGTGGACCAAAACAAAGAGTCAAAAAGCTACCAGTGTGGAAGTTACAGATATGTGATGCTATATTCAGCTTATACATCAGTGCCAGTGACACAAACTCAAGGCCTAATTGCTTACATTGCAAACTTTTTGGGTAGGTATCACATGCCTTGTCTATCTCACTATTTAGCCTATGTTTCTCTATATCCACAAACACACAAATATATGCAGCTTATAAAACAACTTATTAAACTATTTACATCTCTATTGGTGGTTAAAGTCCATGTTCTCTCTTATTCTTAGCCTCTACTCACTTGACAATAACTTGTAAATTTTTTTTATTTACTTATTTTGGCGCGCGCGCGTGTGTGTGTGTGTGTGTGTGTGTGTGTGTGTGTGTGTGTGTGTGTATGTGTGAGTGATGCACTTGGGTCCCATGTGAGAGTCACACATGAATTGGCCTCTGCCTGCTGAACTACCTCACTGGCCCACCTTGTGTATTTTAGAACAAACTTATCACACTCAACTGATATGGAGGGTCTTGAAGGTTTGATTTCTATTGATTCAGAAGATGCCCTTTTTTATAAGCATGACCT